GAGGACATATAGCCCCGCGATGAAGGCGTAGGGCCCGATTTCAGGGTGCTGTTTGCCGAGGTAGAACAGTACAATCGAGACGCTTGAAGATGAGAGAGGGTCAGCACAGCAAGCAAGTGAAGCGACAGGGGTGCCAGCAGCGAGCATGAATACTACCAGAGGTGGTTTATTGCGGCCGATCTTCATGATACAGTGAGCAGGCGATTGCACAACACCTGGCAGAGAAATACTTACAGGATAATAAAATGTTTGAATAAGGTGCCGGCCACGGATTTGGTCTTGGGGGATAGAGAAATCTGAAACGGCATGGTGGTCGATGATAGAAAGGAAGGCGCCTAACGGTAACGCACTGAGGTTTGCTCTGGGGCAGTGCGGAACCTCTGTGATAGGCGCGCCGCCGCGCTCATGGTGCAAGGTACGATCAAAGTGATGCGACTGTCTAATAATATATGTGTGAACTGAAGATAAACCTGGTCAGTCTCGCTCAGGGCCAGGGGCCAGCAACTACATTTACGCAATGTCGACGGTTATTCTGAGGATTCAGTGCCTGCAGATTTGGCGCGCGGCGGGGGAGGGTGTGAAGAGTGCCCGAGGGCAGGGGCGGGGGGAAGTGAAGTGTGCAGGAGATGAGTGCGGCACACTCAGGAGTTTGGATGGGCAAAGGATCCGAACTCGAACAAAGGAGCATAGAGGTATTTCAGACATTTCTTCACCGCCGGAGCTCTGACAATTGGTGCAGCTCGAAGTGAATGATCAATCAAAAGGTCCCGCTCATGCAATCTATCTATCGTATGTACCATTCACAGAATTTCAATGTGAGATCTGAATCAATCCTTCGCAGTCGGTATTGCTGCTACCGCGGCATGCTCAGTGGCCTCCACGCTCCACATACCGCGCGCTCTCCCTGTCCTTCACCCCTCTTCAGCGTTCCCCGCATCAGCCTCGCTAAAATCGGGGCGTTCCTTCAGGTAGAAGAGCACAGTTATGACGAGGAACGTAACCCCGCCTTCGACCAACCCTGCTCCAAAGGCGCAAACGATGATCGGGTCAGCGGTGACGTCGTTGACATATGCCCTGTAGAGGAAGGAGGCCCCCTGTTGAATGATGGCTAAGCCCACGGCGCCTACAAGGATCGCCGTGAAAAAACAACACAGCGAGCGGTTTAGCTCATGCCAACATTATCAAAAAGTACCAACTCGAATACATACCGAAGCTGCAAAATATGCAAAATCATGAGTGACACACCTATACACAGGGAAAGCAGCACATTCTCACATCATGCGCACCGAGAACACAACCCGACTCGATGGTTTAGGTCTCTTCCTCCCCGCGCGACGAGCCATTCGTCGCTTGCGCCACTCAGTAAAGCCTTCGCCTGCGCGATCTGGAGCGATAGCTCTGTAGCTCTGCCAGGCCACTCTCGCGACAAAGTCGAAGAGGTAGATGACTGCACCCCCATAGGCATAAGGATTGAGCTCGGTATAGAGTGAGCTAAGGTGATAATATATGATCGATAAGCTATTGGACCGGGCATCGTCAGTAAGGGAAGTGGGGTGGTGAAGAGGGGAGTTGGCCCAGGGGGAACTCACCAGAGGCTGTATAGTCTTGATATCCCAATGAGCAGACCATCCCATGAGCGGCTGAATGACTTACATATAAGATACTTGCACGAAGAGCGCGCGCACACCAACCCAGCCTTCAAGCGAGAAAAACGACATGCGTATGTGATTGAAGAGACTCGTCGCTTTTCAGATACAATGATATCTCGGCCACACACTACAGCCCGGATCATTCCATAGCACAGCGAAGCAACTGATACTGTCACTGAGAGTATTTTGGGCCCCGCAGTTATAAACGTGTGTAGTATAGGCAGGCATCCTGCGGACGGAGGCCATAAATGGATGCCGACTATCGTGCCCGAGTTTCCAGCACCTCCCTCGGACAACGGTCGAACGAAATTCTTCCCCGGGCCTGAGTTTCGAATGCACTATCGTCACACCGATGGGAGTCCCAGTGAGGCCGTCCTTGCAGAAGAACAGTCTGTACGTCAATGCTGCAGCAGTAACTTTAAGGAAGGGAGTTTGACACTGCTTGACGAGTCTCGCTGGAAGTTAAAATTACTTCGAGCACGTCAAGTCCATCGTCGGCAGTTGCCGAACTGTTGGTACTACTTGGCCACTCGAGCTCACATCCGAACGATTTACACCTATCTAACCTGACGCGATGAATTGCTCATGAACACGTTCAGAATTCATAGGAGAATACGGACGAAGCAGTGGAAGAAATTCTCCACGACAGAGACTATAATACAGAGTATACAATGACTACGCTAAACTAATCGTGAGTGTTTATATAGCGTTCACCGATGGCAACACGACAGCAAATTGTCGCAATCATGCATCCGCTTCCCTCCGACTTACAACTCATCACCTGCACTTTTTACCTTCTCTCCGCCCTTCTTGATTCCCTCTCCGGCACTCTTCACGCCCTCCCCCGCCGAGCGCCTATATCCCTCCCCGTACCCTTTCGCCTCCTCCGCCTTTTCGTTTGCGTAACCTTTCGCGTCGCGCACTTTCTCCCCCGCATATCCCTGCGCGTCCCTCGCCTGATCCGCCTTGTTTGACCCCCAGTGCCACGCACTGTCTTTCTTCTCATCTGCATAGTCCCTCGCGTCATCCGCCGCGCCGCGAGCCTGGTCGGCCTTATGTGACCCCCAGTGCCACGCACTATCTTTCTTCTCATCTGCATAATCCTTCGCATCGTCCGCCGCACCGCGAGCCTGGTCAGCCTTTTGTGACCCCCATCCCCATGTACTATCTTTCTTCTCCTCCGCATAGCCCTTCGCGTCGTTGGCCTTGTGCGAACCCCAGCTCCAAGCGCTGTCTTTGTAACCCTTGGCATCACCGGCCTTTTCGTTTGCATACCTGGACGTGTCGTGGGAGGCGCCACTCAGGACCTGTTACATCGAGCCATAAGAGGACATACGCAAGTGTCAGAGGTATCTGGAACTGACCTCTAACACTCGGGCCAGTTTTTCTTCCGCGGCCTCGACGCCACCATTCACGATCTCTTTGAGTTTGGCAAAAATCGTCTCGGCACGGTTAGATGTCTGGACCCATCGAATCCGTGTTTCCTCTGGAGAACCCGTCATCAGACATCAGTTCGGTCACTAGGCGCCATAACGAGGCGAAGGACTTACGCAAGAGGCCGGGTCTACTGGTCGGCAGAGCCGTCTCACTAACTCCCCGCTCGCGAAGGTACGCACGTAACCGTGCATCGGGCCATACGAGATAAGACGCACTGCGTGCCGTCGCGTCGTTGTACCTGTATGAAATTTAGCACCACGCCGATCGCACTCTCCAGAAAACGTACTTCTTGTCGATCAGCTGCACCAGCTCCTCGCGCTTCTTCGCCGTTTCGCTCCTGTCATCAATGTAGCCATGCTCCTTCAGCCATGCATGCATGTCCGAGTCGCTCCACGCGCCCCAAACACTATCAGATGCTGAGGCGTAATTGTTCCTGCGGGCGCGAATATCGAACGTTAGTACGATGGAAATCACGGGTGGTCAGAGGACGCACTCGATCAAACCAACAAGCTCCTCGCGCTTCTTTTTCGTGTCGCTCTTGATGATGCCATGTTGAACAAGCCATGTCTTTAGGTCGGAGTCACTCCAGCTAGACCAGACACTGTCCGACGAGTTGTAGTAATACTTCTTCATCTGGCCGACAAGTGTGCTGCGGGAAGCGGTGTCCGACGGAGATAGGAGGTTGTGCGAAATGAGCCATTCGCGCTATAAACATGCGTTAAACCTTTGATTGCAGAACGAAGAGGAAGGCTGACGAACCATGTATGAATCAGTCCAGGTGTCCCAAACGGGGTCGGCAGCCTTGCGATAATAATCTCGCATGAGGCCAAGGAGGTCAGAGCGAGTCTTGGCCTTTTTAGCTTCAACAACGCCCTTGTCTTCTAGCCAGCTCCTAAGGCGATTATCATCCCACGTCGAGTAGACATAGTCTTTCGTGTCGTCAAATGCACGACCGACTTCACGGGTGGCTTGAGCAGCGATACTCCCCACCGACTTTGAAGCAGAGTATGCGGTGTCCGTGGCTCCGGAGTACGCAGAAGAGGCGGACGCTGACGCAAGCGAGGAATAATATGCGGCGGCGTCCGTATAGGAGTTATATTTCTGCTTGGCGAGGATGACGAGCTGCTCGCGAGGGCCGCTTGGGGCAACAACGCCTTGCTCGAGAAGGAATTCTCTGAGCCGAGACTCGTCCCATTTATCGAAACTGCCATCCTTTAGGTCCTGGAAGGTGTGCTGAGCGCGGGAGTACTGATCATAGCTCCACTGTCGTCCGGCGTCTGCGTACGCACGGCTTTGATCAGCGTACGAAGGCGGCGGAGACGGCGGATTTGCCCAGTTGGCAGCGACAAGGTCATGAAGATGTGACTGGGAAAACGAGGAAGGCGTTTTTATGTTGTGATCTGCGAGCCAAGTGCGCAGTTCGGAGGGTGACCATTTCGTGTATTCGTAGTCTGAGCCGAACCAGCTCGATGCGGAGACTCCTACAACGAGAACAGTCGTGTAAAGAGGTAATGTTAATCGCATGTTGGGCTTTGATGAGGGTTTGGTAGGAAGAGAGGATAAACAGTGGAGAATACTTATAGGAGCTAAGAGGAGATGTGACGTCAGATAATGCAACATTTCTAATGACGACACTCGAGCCTTGTAATTAGCAAATTAGCGAAGGAGCGATTTACTGCCAGAAATACTAGCACACATCACCGACAAAATCGTTGGAGGGCTCGACGTCAACATGCCTGGCGTCGAACACTACACCAAGGGAGGAGGCACGCCATGCTACACCTTCTCTGGAGACTGGGCACTTGTCTGCGGCTCCAACAACGCTTGCAATGGGTTATATAATTACTACAGAGAAGCCAGCGGTCGCCGTGGTCGTTGGTTGCTCAAGAGCAGTAGAAGATGAATCAAAAAAGATGGCCAACGTGGGGATCGAACCCAAGACCTTCGCGTCACCCGATTTATGAGGTCAAGCCCCACGATTCGGTATTAGCACGACGCTCTAACCAACTGAGCTAGTCGGCCGTGTTCTGTTGTTCTTTGAAAGTATTGATCTCGTGGGTTCAAGCTTCCCTGCTAGCTCCCCCCACCGTATTCTACCCTACGCCGACCATATAGAAGGAAGACAGTCGTTTATTTCCACCTCACCCCCTCGCAGGTTCTGATATGACCAGTTCCTTAGGCTCAATTGCGGAATCTCGACATCAGTGGTCATCTTGCTTCCAACCTACCCAAGAATTTGAACAGACTACTGCCTCCTAACCGTGACCGCTGTCCACTCTAAACCAGTTCAACCTGAGCTTCGATTTCAGCATAACAAGACAGTAGTAAGTATGCAAATACACAGCTTGAGATATTGTATGTAGTACAGTCCGATACATGTAGTGGTTCATCGGTTATAATCGCATAAGCATAGATATAAGATCATGGATGGGTGAGGGGATATGAAAGGCGTGCTGCACAAAACCGTGTGCGTGTGCTGTCACGAAAGGCGGGGAAGGAAACACGAAAGATGGCGCGTGGGGGATCGACGAAATATAGGACAGGGAACACGAAAGGGTGAGGAGGATCGAGATAATGTAGGGAGACGCGGAAACTTTTGGTGAGTGAGTCAATGAAAACATCGAGGAGAGGGTGATGGGGGAGAGGGAAAGCATAATGCAGCGTCCAAAGGGGTGCAGGGTATCACGAAACACAAAGTGATGGGGTTTGTCGGGAAGACATGCCTTTGACATAAATAGCAGCACAGCATAGCAAAGCGAGAGACCTCGATTACGAGTCGCCGGAAGAGAAGGCAAAGATGCATGGGTGGGTGAGTGTCGGTTATCCTCGACACGATTAATAGCGGGTAGGGTTTCAAGCAGGAACAGCAACCCTCCTCGGCGTAGCCGAGGCCGCGGCACCCACGTTCTCTTTCTCCTTCTCATCCAGCTCGCTCGGTACAGAGCTAACGCTGATTCTCCTCCCCTGCATCGGCGTACGCGTCTGCGACTGGCTTAGCGAGCTCGAGGGGCGTCTCATAGGTGTTTTCGCAGCCGTGCTCCCCGGTGTCTTCGTAGTCCCACTAGTAGATGCACTCATACTCCCACCAGCAGGCGTCCCTGGTGCACCACTCGCGCGCCTCGCCCCCAACGACGGCGGCACGCGACTAGCAGGGGTAGGTGTCCCCACTCCGCCCACCGACGGCCTCGAAAATTTCGCAGCCGGGGGACCCATCTTCCCAGGGCCCGTCCCCACGACAGACGATGAGAGGTTCATGCGGACGCTCTTGCCCAGCGCGGCAGCGCTTGCTCTTGGTGCGCTGTCTTTTCGCTCTGAAGCGCTCTCCCCCAACGCCTTGCGTTCAGACCCAGCATCGGACAATACGGATGGCGGTCTCGACCCCACAGATGACGGGGGGCCAGAAGGCGTCGCGAATATCGACGAGTCCCTCCTCGATGCAGCGACCTTTGACGGTTGGGCAGGCGTGCTCCCTCCAGTCCCACGTACACCCAGCCTTCGTTTAACCTAGCGAACGCGTCAGCATCGACTCCCCAAGGATAATAAAGGGGAAGGATAATGTAAGGAGTGCACCCACAAGTTCCAACTCCTGCTGCTTCGAGTCCAGGGCAATGTTCAGCCCACTCAAATCCTCCTTATCTCGGGCGCTCCTCTTCTTCAACTGCACAATCACTACCTCCTTGTCCGCGCTCGCCTGCTGCAGCTCATGCACCTGCCTCCGCAGCCTCTCCAGCTCTCCTTCCAGGGCACCCACGCGCTCCTGCTTCACGTCTGATTGGGCCTTTTCGGTAAGAAGAACCTCGAGTTGAGCTTGCGTGTCGGCGGAGTGTGTTTGCAGGTCCTGGACCTCGCGTTCGTGGTCCCCGAGGAGGCGGGTGTATTCCCGCCGGAGGGTGCTCAGCTCCTCACGGAGGGTCTCGGCCTCGGCCTCGCGAGCCCGCACACGCGCAGATAACGAATCGATCTCCGTGTCGCGTGTTTTCACGTTGGCTTCTAGGCGGGAGACGTTCTCCAAAGCAAACTGCCGCTCCGAGTCGGCAGAGGTGAGGCGGGATTCTTGCTCTTGCAGCGCGTTCGTGAGATGCGCGGCATGCTCTTGTTCGTCACAGAGGTGACGCTGGACTTCGGCGAGTTGGTCGGCGAGCTACGTTCGTTCCAAGATAAATCTGGGTTAGCATAGGCCAAGCATGAAAAGGGGGTATACACACCTCCTCGCGCTCCCTATCAGCCTCCTCTCTCGCATCAACCGCCTCCTGTAGCTCAGCTTCCACCTCAGCCCTGCGGTTCTCATTATCATTCCATTCTTCCTCCATTCCCACAATTTTCGCTTCGAGGCCATGCACCTCCGTCTTAAGAGCTTCCACCTCTATCTTGAGCGCGTCTGCTTCGACCGCGCGTTCGTTGAGTTCGGTTTTGAGGGCCTCAGTTTCGGCCCGGTGCGCCTCCGTATGCTCGTGCATCTCCGCCTTGAGGGTCTCGGCTTGTATTTGGAGGGCATCCGCCTCCGCTCTGAGGCCCTCAACCTCAGCCGCACGGTCGTGCACCTCAGCAACGAGCCTCTCCCGCTCCTCGCCATGTTTCTCCGTAAGCACCCATTGCGCCTCGAGCTCACTTTTCAGCACGGTATGCTCCTCGTCCTTGTGCGCCGCGTTTACGCGCGTGGCCTCCAATTCCGAGTGAGCGGCTGCGAGCTCAGAGCGTAGGAGTTCCAACTCGGATTGAGTGGTCTGCAAATCGAATTGTGCAGTCTGCAGCTCGGACTGAGCGGTCTGCAGCTCGAACTGGGCTCCCTCCGCGCCCATTTCTTCCATCTGCTCCTTCGCATCCCTAATTCCCGCCTTCAATGCCCGCTCACTCTCATCTCGCCGCCTCAGCACCTCTCTCATCTCTTCCAACTGTGCATCGGCATCCCTCAAGCGCTCCTCCACGGCTCCCTTAACACGCTCCTCCACGGCTCCCTTAACACGCTCCTCCAGTTGCTCCTGGATACGTGCCTCCACCTTCCCCTCAAGCTCTGCCTTCTCCCTTTCCAACTGCCCAATCTGCCTGTGCAGCTGCCTCAACGCTTCCCCACTCGCCTCATCCATAACACTTCTCTCCCCCCTCTCCATCCGGCTCTCCTCCACTTCCTCTTCAAGGCGCCCGCACGTTTGCTCCAGACGCCTACACATCCTCTCCAGCTCCCCCGCCTTCTTCTTCCAACCCTTCAGCACTCCCCGCCGCTTCTCCCCCTCCCTCTCCGCCTCGCCGACCCGCTCCTCGAGCGCGCGCACGAGCTCATCCCGCGCGGACAAGTCCACTTCGTACTGCGCGTTGAGCTCCTGCTGCAGCGCAAGTTGTGTGCGCAGGGACCAGATAATGTCTTCCTCACGTGAGGCGGTGCGGCTGTGCGTGACGCCCTGAGGCGGCGTGGGCGGGATCATGGTCTGGGGTGTGTAGTAAGTGGTGGCGTTGGCGCGGAAGGGGTCTGGCTCAGGGGCAGGGGAAGCGTAGACGGCGAGAGAGGGGGAAGAAAGGTCGTTAATTTCGGCTTCGGGGTGTTTAGTGGCTTTGATCATGGATTGGAAAACCGTGTCGCTCAGTGCGCGGTTGCGGTTTTTCGTCGTCGGCGCAGGATCGGGTGCAGCCGCGTCAAGGTCAGCGCTGGTGTCAGGGGAGGGCTTGGACATGGAGTGGAAGACGGTCTGCCCGAAGCTGAAGGAGATGGACCGGTCATGGGGCTTGAGAGGCGTTGACGTGGGGAGGGTGTCTGCGTCGAGCTCGATGGCGCTGTCGAGGAGGGGCGTCTTGAGGCCGAGGGGGATAGTCGGCAGGTCGTGCTCCTGCGACATGTCGAATATATTAGACATATCGGGCGGCGGAAATGGCGCCATGAACGAGGACGCATCATCCTTCAGGGGCGGTGAGAACACCTCCTTGTCCTTGGGAAGCGAAAACACCTCCTTGGGCGGGGAGAACACCTCCATCACGGACGGGCGTGACGAGTGGTGAGGCTGGTCGATGCCAGCCTTGTTCAGGCGGTCCGCAAAGGACAGCGGGTCCGGTTCTATGCTCGCCGCGGACGTATCGGGGGTCATCGCCTTGTAGGCGTCACGGGAGAAGAAGCGAACATTTTGACCCGTGCCTGGCGTCTTTGGGTCGCGGAGGATAGAGCGGACGGAGCCGGTCGTAACGGGTGTGTTTATGCTATCGAGGGACGGACGTGCGGTATCTGTGGATATGCGTGTAAGGGACGCTTGCGAGGCTGCTCCCCAGTGTCAGCAGACATGATATGGACTTGGAGGAAGGGCGTACGATTTGATCTTAGATGTAAATGGGACTTGACCTTCTTTGGGATGAGCCTGAGCGCTGCTATGTCTGCATTGTCGACTTTTGATATTCGTTTCAGCATGCCCCGCCGTTTGGAGGGCGAGCTGGGCGGTGAGCTACTTGACTGTTGTTGCTGGGTCGGCTCATCGTGGAATACAGACAAGTTTGGGTGCTGTTCGTACACCCGCGAGAGTACGTCGGTCGACGCCGACGCCGACACTGGCTCACCTGAGTCCTCGCTGCGTTTGAGTGCGTGGCTCAGCTTGGTCCACATCGTTCTTGAGCCTTGACGGTCGTGGAGAGAGAAGAAGCTTTCGTCTTTTGTGGCGCGGCGGGTTTTGAACTTTCCCTACGCGTCGTCACGTGCAATTTGAACATTATGGCGCGTCAAATCACGTGAGCTCTAATTATCGTACACGCTACTACAAAGAAACAGCATCGACAGCAAGAACAGTTATGATTTCGTTCCAGGATTACAATTTGGGGGCACCGACAAAGGACACGCCCTGAGGAGATGTGAGTGATGGACGAAACATTCCGGAAGGGTACGCACCTTTTCGATGTTGGTGATCAGCTCGGGGACGGCGACCTGAATCAATTTCTTCTCAGAGTCGCTGATCGTCCCGAGGCCGTTGATCTTGTACACGCCCTCGACCTATCCACGAACACATGAGCGCCTATCCCATGCATCGCAAAAACAAAAATGCACCCACCCC